AACATATTACAAAAAGTATTAACTTAGTAGTAATCTACGTAATGACAGAAATCTACCGATGCAAGATGCAAACCGTTAAAGATATGCTATCGTGGACTTTTCTGTAGAACTTTTTGAGATCCACAATTCTTTCATACATCATTTTTATATATCTTTAACGGTTTAGGCAGCGTAAGCCGAGAAAAGTGAAGTTTAGTGAGTTTTTAACGCCGGCGTCTAAAAACACGCTATTTATTAATAGGTCCTAAACATTAGTAATAATAAAACATAGCTTATGTTACTCACAGATAAATTACCTTTCTGATGGTGAAAGAATTTTTAAAATCGGCCTAGTAGTTTTTAAGTGAATCAAATACATACAAAAGTAAAAAAAAAACCTTTTCATAACATTATAGAAGTATAGATAGTGAACATACACGCATCTGCATACCATCTTTGTCAAAGACTAACAAATACATAGACTAGACATATACGCCCGTACGTTATATACTATTTTATCAATTTATATACATTTCGTCGTAAGTTATAACACAACGTAAGTCACTTTTTGGCTGTTTTGACATTTTGATGACATTCTCTAAAGATTTGGAAGACTCATCGTTTCGGCCTATCAGAAATAGGAATTCTCCATTAAATGTATACATAAACCACTATACATAAGTATACATCATCCACTTGCCCTTATCCCTTATGGAGGGTCGGCACAGTATGTGCTGCTCTTCCATACATCTCCATCAGTCATATCTGAATCCACTCCCTTCTTAAGCATATCTTTCACACAATCCATCCATACTTTCTTCAATCTTCCTCTTCCTTTGTAGCCATCCACATTCAATCTTAACCCTTTCTGGTTTATGTCCCCATCGTCTCGTCACATAACATGTCCATACCACGCTAACCTTTTACTTCTAAATTTTTGCAAAAAACGTCACATTCTTATTAGAATATCTATATTGAGAATAGAAAAAAAAGTATATCTTACCTCTCTGGAGTGATCTTGTTTGTCCTTGTCTAGATTGCTGTGTCCTATTGTATTGCAGGTTATGGTCACACTCGCGTCCCCGTGCACGAACCTGCAATGTACATATACCTACAATTACCTATTATATATATATATAAAAAAACATATTTTATATATCACTAGCTGTTGCACGCGACGTTGTCTGCGTGAAATTAAAATACAATAAAAAATAGCATTTGTTACTCAGTGATAAATTAGTTTTTTAATGGTAAATACATTTTGAAATCGCCCAAATAACAAACCGCAGTGCAGGTTAACTATGGGCTTTTTTTTTGCCCGAGGGGAATGCTTTATGCAACTCCGCGCCCAGGGTGACGCGGGATGCGACTCTCCCCCCATAATGGGGGCATACCCACTAAAGGTTAACTATAGCCTAGTCACCCATAGGGTAGGGTCCGAGTAGTCTTGGGTAGTACACGTACGATGTACTAAAAAGTATTGTTACTTGTACTAAAAATAACCCGAACGGCTTCTGTTAATCGGACATTTGGCACTTTTAGTACACTACAATTTATCAGTGTTCGCCTCTTCGTTGTTTGATTTGGTTGTATATTTACCAGATTGAAGCATCCACCTTCGGTAATGAGAATCAAAAGTGGATAAAATCATTTATAACTTTTTGTTTTCGCTAATATATGTTTGACCCTGCTTATTTGATGTGAATATATAACACTCTTTATATTCTATACATGTTATTGTGTTCTCACAAATCTGTAGTACTAAGGGTACTAAAAGTGTGTACTAGTACGTTTTCACAATTGTACTAGTACGGTGCGCACTTGCAGATGTCCGATTAAGCCCAAGACTAGGTCCGAGCCACTCAGA